CACTTATATCAATATGTTATTTTGTATTGTAAAATTTGTGGCATAAAAAGAATCAACATTTTATTGAAGAAAACACAAACTTTTTTCACAAACTTTCCAAATTTTGGCATTTTGTTGTCATCTTGCATTTGCTTTTCCCCTTTCCTTTTTTTAAAAAACTTTCTAGCACTATCTTTTAATAAATTAATAACTTTTTTTATTATTTAATTTTATGGTGGTAGGGCAATTAGTGTGGTTATAATGTATAAGAACCTTAAGAGCAACGTAACCTATTTATAGTATAGTTTCTTAATGTATAAGACTTTTATTTAGAGATCTCGAATTCAAGTTTTGAATATAAGAAAAGTCATAAAGGAAAACGTTGTCTTCAAACGCAAGAAATCATTTTAATACTTGGATATGTTGTCTTTTAATTTATTTTTTTAGTGTAAAATTTAAATTACCTTCTATTCCTATTCTTTTTCTAAATACACTAATCTCATGTTCTTTAGGCATTTCGGATACATAATTAAGGATCCGGATACAATATTGTTGGTTCATTATGTATCAATCTGTTGCACTTATTAAGGGAAAAAAAGCTGAAAAATCAAATTAAGATCTCATAGTATCCATCTTTGCATTAATTAAGGGGGAAAAAAACTAAAAATCAAATTAAGATTCCATATATTGCGCTATTCCATTCCAAATTATTGTCAAAAATTCAATCATATAGTGTAGCAAATCCAAAAATTCAAAAAATAAATTTCTTCTTCTTGTTCATCGTTCTCTGTTTCATAAAAAAAAAGTGTCAATTTTTTTTAATAAGTGAGGTGAGTTATGAAGGATATAAAAGTGATGGAATTGTTGTTTGGACAAACGATTTCTTTTGTGAATCTTCAATTTCATCGAAGATCCTTTCAATTTTGATTTAAGATTGTCGAAAAATTTGAGATTCAAAATTCTTCTCCAGTTCATTGAAGATCCTTTCAGTTTTGATTCAAAATTGTTGAAAACTTTGAGTTTCAAAATTATTTTCCTAGTTCATTGAAGATCCTTTCAATGTTGATTCAAAATTATCAAATTTTTTGAGAAGATACATCATGAAGATTCTTTCAATTTAAATTGATAAGTGTTGTATTTCTACTAGATACATTAAATAAGAAAGTGTTGCCCATAAGATTTTAGGTTTGAGATCGATACATTATTGTTTGGTAATTGTTATGAATCAGATACATTTAGTATGAATTCAAATTTACATTTCATGCCTAAAAAATTAGTGCATGATATATTATTATTTATGTATCTTATTTTATTTGAGAAATACTATATTTTATTTTTGTAAAAAAATATTATACATGTAATTGTTCCAAATAGCATATTTTTTGGTGCATCCACCTTGCATTCATAAAAAAGTGGTATGACTAACAAGTTAATTGATGCAACTAATCAAAAATCAGCCTAAAGTTAATTAAAGAATTATTTGAACAAATTCATTTAGCTGTATAGGATTACATTAAAGAGGAAATACTCCTCTTTTAATTCAATTTTTACTATTATTGGACGTGATTAGTATGGATAAAATATGAAAAAGAAATGAGGTCTGTGTATGGTATTATGGAAAATATTTTTCGTAAAATATATGTTTATATATTTTTATGTTTGGTTAGTTTAAATTTCTTGATTTTTTTTTTTTAATGTTTGGTTAATTTAAATTTTTTGAAAATCAAATTTGGATATGGATTTTATAACTACTTAGAATTTGGAGTGAACTTAGGGAGAGAAAATAAGAGTGAAAAAGGGAGTGGTGATTGGTGACTTTTATGTATCCGATAGTTTTTAGAATTAGGAGAAAGAAGGGATTTAAGTAATATTTAAAAAGGTAGGAAAAAATAGAGAATAATGAAATTAAACTTGTGTATATAAGTAATTTACCCTTCTTAATAACTTAAACTCACAAATTTAGGCACTACCAGAGAGATCATCTTGCCATTGTTATGTTATAAGATATAAATTTTCATCCCTTTATCACCAAAGCGGCTCATTAGAAAAATATATGGTGAAAAATAGATTATCATTGAAATAATGGGAAGTTTCTTGATTTTTTTCATATGAAAACACTACTATTTTTTTTTTCATTAATCAATTAAAATATTTATTGAAATAGCCACTGAACATTTTCAATGAAATAATAAAATATTTTAAATTATTATTCATGTTAACTTATAGTACTTTTTGTGTAGTTTTTATAACTTTTGTTTAAATTTTTTGAAAAATAATATTATAGAACCTTTTGTACAACTTATACATTGATTATAAGCACAGGGGTAAGATGCATTACATTCTTCAGAAATCATTTATGAAATTATATTAAAAATATACGGTTATTGGTGTTACAAATAAATTCATAATTGAAACTAAATATTCTGACCACAATACCCAAAGTCTTTCTTATAAATTGAGACAAAAAAATATTTATCTAAATTACTCATCATTGTTTATTCAATAGAAATTATATGAAATTAATATTTTACATGATATAATTGTGAAGATATTTTTATCCATTACTTAAATTAAACTAAAATTGAAATAACAAAGTTAAGACTAAAGACGAGGGGATACATAGAAGAAAAATACAATTATTTAGAAATATAATGCAATGGATATAGGTATTCTTGATCAATTTCAATTTTAAGTTCTGATAAGAAAAAAAATTGATAAAAAAAGCTAGTTCCAAATGAGGTTCATGTGGGGCAAATTGATGTGGCGGTATTAAGGGCCGTTTGGCCATAGATTTCCCAAATAATATTTGAAGAAAAATTTGGCAAATACTGTTTGGCAAATAAAAATTATATTTGTATGTTATACCTATAGTTCGCATAATTGTGCTCCATAACAAACTTTATATTTGTTAATTGCTATGGAGCATTAGATTTGTATAAATCGCTGGCATGCCTCTCGTTTGTATAAAAGAGCAACAATTGTATGTGTATATCAATTAGATAATTGTATATATGTAACTACTATGTATATGTATCTATGATTGTGTTTGTATATCTGCATAAAATTTGAATTTGTATACAATTGAATCTAAATAAAACATTTGTATATCAAATCTCTCTCTCGCTTTATACAACACAAATTATACATTGTAATTTGTATAATTTGTGTTTGTATAAAGAGAGAAAGGCATAAGAGAGTTGGTAGGGGAAAACTGTATTTGTATAATTATAGGGCAAATTACAGAAATCACATACTTTTAAGGCAAAATTACAATCTATCCCTTAAAAGTTTATAATTGCAGAAATCCCTCAAACGGATACAATAATATAAGCGCTGATACATTAATCTGATGCGCGAGATACATTAATCGTTAAGTAAGATACATTACATTTTATACATGATACACTAATCTAATGTACATTTTATACATGATACACTAATCTGATGCGCGAGATACACTAATCTGATGCGTGAAAATGAGAGATTTTGGAGATTTGTAAAACTTATAGGGGATAATGGTAATAAGTAAACTAAAATGTGAGATTTCTATAATTAATCCATAATTATAAGTGTATAGGACGAAAATATATGTATTTGTATTTGTATATACAGTTTTCTCTCGCTTTATACAAACACAAACACAATTTATACATTTGTGTTTGTATAAAGTGAGAGAGGCGAGTGAGATTCTCTGAGGAGAGAGGCAAATGAGAAGTGTTTGCTACGAATTACAATTAAATAAATTTGTGGTTATACCATTTAATTTGAATTAATAGTTTGTTATTTTATACAAATTTTCTTATTTTTAATTATGAATAACAGTGAATTTTTAAGCAACAATAATATAGTTTAATGATTTTTCTACAGTTTTAGATAGAAAACCAAATCAAAAAGCAAAACAAGTAAAATGGAGCTAAGTATAGATGAGAGCTACTTATGATGAGAGCTTTGACGGACCACTACAGTACTCGACGGACCATCAACTTTATTGTCAAGCGCTAATAAAAGCTTCGTAAGTCCGAAGGTTAAATAACGGTCCACCTGATGTTGATCGTCAAATGAAACGTCATTAATCATAGGGACAACTTTCACGTTTTAGATTTTAAATTTTTAGTGACTATATAATATTTTTTAGGGTTTATTTTATTTGTGATGATTTTTAGCGAAGAACACATTCACAATGTACGCTACAATTGAAGTTTATTCGGTGATAACTTGATTTCTGAAATCAAAACTTTGGTTGATTGTCTTCAATTTTGTAAGTTAATTCTTATTCAATGCGTACAACTACTTGTTTCGTTTTAATTACCATGAATGACTAAATTCTAAAATTAGGGGTTGTGAGATTCATGACGATTTGACATAAATAAGAATTATTTACAAAAGAAAACCTCTAGCGTCAATGTGTACATTGTTAATTTTTTTCATTTGAAGCAATTTCTAATAGTTGCAAACATTAGAACATGTCCTAGGTTTAACTCGTTTGAATAAAAGGATATAAAATCAAAGAAAAGAATTAACAACAAAGATTCGGGACTTTTAAGACTCGTCAAATGATTGATGTTGTAGCAAAATTAATCAATTCAAAGTATATATCAATTTGTTTAAGATTAACATTTTAGTTTAAGAGAATAAAAGTGAAACTCATTTATTTTGGCAGAGAAACAATGTGTATCATAAGGTATGACAGATTAGCATACTACCTCTATATAGTTGAATTTCGTGATTATCCGAGTTGAGTCATAAAGTTTTGGTGAATACAATCCTAGTTACTGTGCAAACTAATTTCTTTATTTCAAATCAATATTATTGATGTTAAGTATTACAATCTAACATCGAGAGATAATCAAATCCCTCAAACTTTTTCTTTCTTGAAAATAACTGATTAATAGTTAAATAATCACATACCACATAGTTCTCACCTATAAGATTTATATATTTGATAACGACTTAGACGTATGACAAATTTAGATTAGTCGAGATTTCAATTTCATAAGAAAAAAAGAAGATAAAAACATACTTGGCCTTGTTCATTCTCTCTCTCTCCTGTTCTTACTGGAAGTAATTGGAGTGATGATGATTTCAAGAAATAGAAGCTCACTCTGCTTCAATAACTTGTACATTTCTGCTCCATTCTTCTCTGTTTATAACAATGGATTTTCACCCCCTTTTTTCTATGAGCTAAGGATGAGGATTTGAGTAGAAAGATCATCATCAGATACCCATTTCTCCCATGGCCACAGTTTATCGAGTTAAAGGTCAGTACTTTCTTGTGTGAGCTTAAAGCTCTAATCTTTTTATTTTTTGTAGTATAAGTTTGAAGACCCTTATTTCTGATTTTGATTCCTAGGTTGTTTGATAGAATTATAGAGTTATTTGCTTGTTTCTTGTAACCCTAGTAAGAAAGTTCTCTTTTTTGATAACTGTGCCATGAGTTACTCTGGAAGAGATCATATTTTGCTTTTGCTGGTATTTGAACCTGAAACCTCGTGATTTTCAATGGTATTCACGGGTCTGATAGTACCTAGACCCCAATGTGTGGGACTACACTGTGTATATTATTGTAGTAGTATTCACAGAAACATAACTGCATTGAAGGACTTTGGAGAATAGGGTTCAGATCAGGACTTAAACCTTGGTGAACAAAGTTATTTGATGCATGTGCTAGTGGGAGGTAGTAGCTATTTGGTGGAATAGTTGAGATGTGTGCGAGTTGGGCTGGACAACACGGTACAATAAAAAAGGGAAGAAAATAAGGAGGTGAAGGAGCTTATTGTGCACAAAACTAAGTTTAGTACCTTGCCTTTTTTGTTTATTACAGATTTTATGTAATGAGGACTGTAACACAGCATGCACTAGGTGAATGAGGTCAAATACTCCTACATAACAAGTGATACTATCGCTTGCGAATGCTCTATTGGTTGCAAAGGCCAGAAAGAGTATAGAAACTTGTCTTTATATGTATGCAGTGAAAATAAGTATATCAGACAACTTTTTCTTCTTTATTGACCATGACTATTATCATCAAAAGGCACTATTATGAGTTCTGACTTAGATAACTATGTATGCTAGAGCAGTCAAAGAATATGATTTTTCATAGTAGAAAATGCTTAAGGGAAAGAAACTGTTACTTTCTAACTTTATAGTTTCTGGGCTGGTAGTACCTTTGCCTTTTAGAGACATACTTTGTGTCTTAGTGGTATATAATAAATCAACTGTGATATGTAATGGTTCTTGCAGCATCAACTAGTCACTATGTTGAATTATCATCTGCTTTACTATTGGCTGAATCATCAATTGATTAAACTATGATGACAGTTATTCGTAAGAGAGCAGAGAGGCATGAACGGAAGCGAATGCAAAACTATAAAGTGCAGGCGGAGCGACTATCTGCATTTGAAGAATTGCTTAATGAGATTTATACAGTTTGCCGCCCTAAACCAAGGGATTATGAAGTCAGGAGAGATTTGATTTCTGCTTTTAATGAGATAGCAAAGGATATCTATGGTAATCTCTGCACCAAAACTTTTTATAACACGATTCAGCAAATGGATCCTCTGAACTGGCTTGTAGTAGCTATGTTAATCAACTTGATAAAAAAAATATTCAGCATGATGTGACAGTTTCTCCTTTTTCTCTTCTTTTTCAGGATGTTCTGGTAATGTTCCTGTTGTGGAGGAGTTTGGATCTTTTGTAATGGATCTATTCCATTCAAAGAGTGACCTAGATCTCTCTGTTAATTTTGACAACAGTTCAGTTCAATTTTCGCATGAGAAGAGGATTCAAACTCTCAGAAAATTTGCAAGGAAGTTATATGCACTTCAAAGTAAATCTTTGATTTAATTCCTTTTTTTCCTTGATACTGTCTGCAGTTCATGGATTACTGCCTGTCCTAACCAAAATTTGAAGTACATTTTTACTTTGAAGAGTAGATTGAATTTTAGTCGAAAAGTAGATTTACTACTCTGAATGTTCTTTAGGTGAAAAAATATGTTGCCACTTCAAAGAACTGGCTATTTCCAATTTTCCATTAGCAGAACCAATAAAATAAAGCTTTTAAGGTAAATGTCAGGTGCCATTTATTTTGAAAAAGAGACCTGGTTTTCTTAGTTTTTACAATGGAATATGGTCCACATGGTGTATGCAATGAGGCAGGTAAATGTGGTAGAAAATAGTGAAAAACAAGAAGGTTGAGTCAACTGTTCCTCAGTCCCAAACTATTATGCAGTTATATGGATCCTTTGTATGTATTTGCTGTATTTAGCACTTTATTTGTCACTATTAGGGTTTAGTATGTTTGGTTTATTTCATCTGTGGTTTTCCGTGCTTCAGGATATGGGCATGTTTCTGGTGTTCATCCAATAACAGCTGCTAAGGTGCCCGTTCTGAAAGTTGTTGATTGTGGAACGAAAGTTGAGTGCGATATATCAGTTGAAAACAGGGATGGAGTTTCAAAGTCTAAGATAATCCACATGATTTGTTCACTTGATGAAAGGTTTCAGAAGCTGAGCTTTTTGGTAAAATTCTACAATCTCTTGTATGTTTGCAATATGTACAGCTGTTCCTGAAATGGAGTAAAAGTTTAATTTTGCTTGTTCAATAGTTTGGAAGACCGTTTCTTTGATTCCTGAATGCATCATAGCAGTTTCACAGGGCTACTAGTTCTTGGCACAATTACCTGTGCTCCTCACACTTAAATGAATAGGATAGCCATTATATCACTTTCTCTAACTTCACTTGAAATATATTCAGAAATAAAAATTCCTGTCATATGGCCCATGAAATATACAATACAAAGCAAGTAAAAGGAAGTTCACAATGTAGGACTATGCCTCCTATTTTTGGCAGCTCAAAAGACATGGCATGTAATCACATCGGACAATGGGAGTAGAAGATTAAAGAGAAGAAAAAAAAAGCAACAAAAGGAGCCAATAGCCTCTGTTTGAAAGGAAGCAAGCTTTGCAAGGTGTATCAATTAGTTATGCCACAACGACTTGCATCTTTTAAGAACATAGATTGACAAACAAAACTAAGGAGATAAATTATTTTTCATCCTTTTGAATCATCTTAACTTGTATAACATGTAAACAACACTGAATCCTACTTACTCCAAACATTGGAGAAGTACAAAATATTTTATCTATATCTATAACCTCATCAAAGAAACTATTAGGTTATGTGATCTTCCATGATTGTTTATTTATGAGAGAACTTCAGTTTGAGGAAGGACAAATCTAAGCCAAGTCATGTTGATGAAGGGTTAGCAATGTAGTTTCCATAGCTTGTCTGGTCTCTCATTTGTGCTGCGGAAATATTCTTTTGCTTACTGATCAAAACAACTTCAGAGGCCAGCTATATTTTATATATTAGAGTTTATTTAGATTTATTCACATCATTCTATTCACATCCTTAAAAAGTATGATCTCTTGTTTTTTGCAGATGAAAGCTTGGGCAAAAGCGCAGAATATTAATAGCTCAAAAGACAAAACTTTGAACTCATTATCTGTAATACTTTTGGTTGCTTTTCATTTGCAGGTATGAGCCAAGTACACGTTATTTCTCTGTTGCCGTCTTACTCTTTTTTTCCTTGCTTACATATTATGGACAGCATGCTGATTACTTTGAGTCAATATAAATTGTGCCTTCAGCAGAATGTTTTGTTATTGTGGTTAATCCGTCTGCCAGCATAGGAGCTACTGGTGAACTAATAACATAACCTTACACAGCGTACTCTATGGGAAAATTTGTACTGATTATAGCTATGAATAAAATCTTCACCTTATTAGAAGAAAATTTACTCTAATAAGTATGGACAGCTGTAGTTTTAATGCAGCAAATAGTTATACAAAAAATGTTATCTTCTCAAAAAAATTTAGAAGAAAATTTAATCTGGTGAAATCATATGATTTGATTTTAGTCTGTTGTGGTTATTCAACTTTTCTTTTTCAATGCCCTCTCATGATTTTGTTGCTTTCTTGTTTTATTTAATAGGGACCTTCATTTTAGTGATTCAATGCTCTGAGCTATAATACCTTCTATGAAGGCTATTCTAAGCAAAACAGAATTCCCACAGTTTTAAAAATGTGGTTACAAGACCAAATTTATATTGTTTCAACTTAAGAAAAAGCAAAAAGAGGAAAGGAAAAAATGTTCTATCCTAGCTGGTCAACCAAGTTTGGTATCTAAGTGAAGAAGGGTAGACGAGCAGGACCCATTAGCCACCAAGTTTGTGTTGTTTCAACTTATAGAACACAAAAGAAATTTACTTTTTTCCTCTTGCAGTACCTTGGTATTATTTAATGAAATTTACTTTGCCTGATCCAAAAAAGAAAGGAGAAAGAAAAAAGATGGTTTGGTGCACCCTCTTGTACAAACGGTGTTGCTCTTGTAAGCTTTTTGTTGCTGGATTTAACCCTTTTTGTCAATAAAAGCATTATTAATATTTCTGATTGCGTAGTATTATGCTTTGCTGATTTAGTTTTGTGGGAATAAAAGTCTTTGTCTTTTTTTAAAAAATCTGTGAGGAAATTGATGTGTGCTGGGAACTGAGAAGTATGTGTAGATATCTTGATTCCTTTCTAGAGTGCTATTGATGTAGTTTTTTTAGTTAATAATCTTCTTCTTTTTTCATTTGGGGTCGTGTGAACTTCTCCCTCTAATGAATGGTACTTTGCAGACACGAAATCCTCCAATACTACCGCCATTTTCTGCCATATTAGAAGGTAACTATGAATCTCTACTTATTCAGTTTCCGGACTCCTTTTTTGAAGGGATATCAGTACACAGTGTAGTGAAGTACTGTAGTAGAAAAGAAAAATTCCCAAGAATAAAGATCATGATAGAAATACTTTTTTCGTGAAGGAAATATATAGGACCCTATGCATCAGAACTGGATGTGCATGAAAAATCTTCCATTTGTCATGCTATCAATGCAGTGATACATATGCATAATTCTTTTTTTTATACATGACTTGGTAGTTTTGGTTTTAGCACTTGTTGCCTTGTTTGACTTTTTATTCATATTGATACTTGGCCCTACTGTGAACAGTAAAGGAGAAATATGTTCTCTTTCATGTTCGGATTCTGTATTATGTGGTGTAATAGTCATGGCAGTCAAAAGGGAGTAAGATGATTATCTAGATTATTTCCAGTGCGCTGCTAATAACAAACGTCTGAAACACCAAGCAAGTACACCAGAGGAACTGAAATGCAGGTCCCCATGGAAAAGAAAGAAAAGCTTGCAGAGGAGATCAGTTTTTGTTTTTGGTGCAGTTTTATTGCTTGAGTGGTCTTGTCTGGCAAGTCTGTTCGATGATGTTAAAACTACACAGGGTCAAGTCAAATAGGAAATCCTCAACACTACCAGTTTTAAAAACAAAATGTCAAACAGGAAATCCTTATATCCTTTCTGATTAGAAAGTGAGGAACTAAAACCATCACTATAAGATTTTAAATTTCAAGAATATTGTTGTGATTTTCTATTCAAGTAGATCCTAAGTGATGCTTCTCTTTGCACTTGTTTTTTTCATGAGATCTTTTGTTTTGAGTAGCTCGGTAATATTCCTTGGCGTTGAAATGTTCTAGATGGCTCTGATCCTGATTCGGTGGCGAAGTCATTGAAGAAGTTTGTGAACTATGGGAAGGGGAACAAAGAGTCAGTGGCTGAGCTGCTAGTTACACTGTTAATCAAGGTACTGTGAATTCAGTATCATCTTAAAGCGGGGCTGTGCATGAGACTCCCAATTCATAGCAAACATCCAGTTTTCTGGCTCATTATGGTCTCATTTCATTGCAGTTATTGTCGGTTGAGAAGCTATGGGCCAAAGGACTGTGTGCAAGTACCTACGAAGCATCTTGGCAATCTAAAACATGGGACTCCAAAGTTTGCTGCATCAGTGTAGTTATCCTTCACTTATTGATGTCCTTTGTGCTTAGCAATCTTTGAAGTGTTGAATTAATGGCTTATTGTGCAGGTTGAGGATTTCACTGACCGGTCTCAAAATGTTGCAAGGGCGGTTGGGAAAGGAGAAGTAAAACGGATATACAAGTGTATCCAGCGTACCAGCGAATACATTTCTGCTTTTATGGACGGTCTGGTCGGAATACCCAAATTAAAGTCTCAGTTGTTTGGCAATGCTGCTCCCTTTCAAGAAGTTTCTGAGACAGGGAACATTAAAGAAGATGGAAATATAATCACTCTTCCTTGTAGAGATATCAAGAATAAGGAGGATCAAAGTAAAGAAGGCCAGAACGGAAGTCAATTGGCTATACCTTCTGAACCTGTTGCGACAAAAAGAAAATGGTCTAGCGAAGGTTGGGAAGGATTAACTTCAGTGAGTGGGGGACAGTCAAAAGGAAAATGGTCTACTGAAGGTTGGGAAGGAGTACGTTCAGCGAGTTGGGGACAGCCCATGGAGGATGGGGGACCAGCCGACTCTCCATGGTCAAAAGGAAAATGGTCTACTGAAGGTTGGGAAGGCATACGTTCAGCAAGTTGGGGACAGTCCAAGGATGGGGGACCAGCCGACTCTCCATGGTCAAAAGGAAAATGGTCTAGTGAAGGTTGGGATGGCATACGTTCAGTGAGTTGGGAACAGCCCAAGGAGGACGATGGACCACCTGACTCTCCCTGGTCAAAAAGAAAATGGTCTACGAAAGGTTGGGGAAAAGCATCTTCAGCTAATTGGGGACAGTCAAACGGGGACAGTGTACCACCAGACTCTATCTTGACAAAAAGGAAAAGATCAGAAGAAACCCGGGGAGGAACTTCTTCTGCTCAATGGCTGGGAAAATCAGACACGAAAAGTTGGCCCAAAAGAAAGCATAACAGTAAGTATGCACCTAAGGCTAAGTGGTCAAAAATGCAGACAGGAGGTCGGGGAGGAAGCTAAATGAACCATTTGCGCGTATCTAGTTGAATCATCTGCAACAACTTTTACATTCTTGCTAGGACTTGGGGAGTAGCTCGTATGAGCTAGATAACGTACCCCTCGTTATCCTCTTGTTTTTGTACTAGTTGGTTAGAGCATTTTGTGCAGAATGACTTAGCAATGACCTAACAAGATGGCATGTTAACTGCTCAATGTACATTTAATTTTATGTACCTTATGAACATCAATGAATCGAATGAAAAACAGATTCTGGAGAAGCCAATCTCTCTCTCTCTGTAATAGTCGAAGTGTGTGTAAACTGGTTCTCACACCATCATTATAAAAAAAGAAAATGAAATCAACAAAGAAAAACAATCAAGCAGAAAAGATCTATCAAGTTTCTATGATAATATAAACTAGATTCCAACAAAAACAGACAAAAACAAACAAGGTGTTTTGAGGTTCTAGCTGAAATTAACAACTAGCAACAAGTCAAGCCCGGTGTATAAAATATCTTGCATTCATGCAGAGCTCAGAGAATTTAACAACATAGTAAAAGAGCATCTTGGTGCATAAAGTATCTTGCGTTCACACAGGGTCCAATAAAAAAATTTAACAACATAGTTTGTGATAATAATTAATAATAAAAGTCTAGATTTTGTCTCCTCTGACAGTCTTAATATTATCGGCAATAGCTATAGCATCCATTGAAATACCCGCAATGCCTCTTTTTGAAAATCCAGCAGCGTAGAGCCCATTCTCTCCTTTCCAATTTATCAATGTGCCATCTTCAAGGAATATTGAGCTATAATCCTGCATACAAAAGAAAAAAAAGTTGTACATATTTGAGACAATGATAGTAAACTTAATAGTAAGTGAAATTAGTAACTAGGAAAACTTATCGAGAAAAACTTATTCACACACAATATTTATAGGCAAGTGGAACAATTTCAAGATTCAAAATTAGAATTAAAACAAGAACATAGTGATCATTTGCAAAACGTACCTTTAGCCATTTGGTAGCAACATTTTTGTATCCAGTAGCAAAAATGATTGCATCAAATTGATGTTCATCTCCATTGTCAAACACTACTGTGCGTTCCCTTATTTCCGATATTTCAGGAAGTACCTAATTAACAATTCACCAAAAGTTATTTCACAAAAAAACCAAATTGTTATTTCCTATATTTTTTTTTAAATAATAGATTATTAATGCATATTAGATGAACTTTTTATACAAATTTACTATTTTTGCCAAAATTACTGAATTCTACCAATTTCGTAACTATAACAGTCAAACTGTTGCCCATGATAATGAACATGTATTTTTACCCTTCATTAAATACTACTATTAGGTTCTTGGCAGTAATCAAGTTTGAACTCGTGATGTGCGCCTAACCATACATCACATGTTATACTTTTACTATCAAACCAAAGACCTCAAAGAAACTAAAGCCATCTGTTTTCACATAATATTTCTTAAAATAGAATGAAATAAAATAAAGATAGTATCATACCTTTATCTGTCCAAGTTTAATCTTGTCAATGGCACCAACATCAATTACTGGAGATCTACCTTTTGATATTTTAACAGAAAATGGGCCTTCTTCTGGTTGTGGTATTCCTAATTCTGCCAAATTTCCAAATTTAAATTTGGCATACTTTGCAATTACAGTATCAACCAAAGATACTGGTAAATATTTTAGCATTAACATTGCAGTATACACCATCTCCCTTGTTAGAACATGAATCTGCAAAAACATTAGGATAAAATATATTAAAACCTTTAGCATTAATAACTATATTTATCAAAAATACAATTGATTGTGCATGTGAAAACTTGCATCACTAACTATATAAAAATTATAGCACTTTGGGAGAACATCATGAAACATATTTACGATAAGTTTCATGTTGTGACGATATTAAAAAAGAAGTACAAAACCAGGTCAATTATAAGGTAATTGCATATAAATCTTCATGACAAACACTAAGAGTAACCACATAAAATTATAAACATTAAACTATGTATGTTGTTAGTGTAAAAAATATTTACGTTGTAAATATTTGTATTAATTGATGGAAATGACGAAGATGTAGGAAACGTGTGTATACGTAATAACTAAATATAATATTTTCTTCGAATGAAATATACATATTTGGTAGAATAAATTCGACACCAAGTTGACAACAACAATGGTTTCATCAAACATAAATTGGTGCTCTAATATTTGTGAAAAAGTGATTGTCGAACTAATTAGCAAAATATAAATCATTTCAAAATAAGTAGAACGTTGTAAATTGGTCAAATAGGCTATTATGTCATTAATCCAATGACGAAGGGTTAGAGATACTCTTTTAACCAATGTGGCGAATACTAGATGATGTAATTACACAAAATGAGACTTTTGATCATTACATAACAATGGATTTAATGAAACAATACAACAAAATTTAAGTAACAGTCAAAACATATATTATATTAAATCTAACAACACAATAGGTAACAACCATCCAAACAAGTTGAAAAAGGAGGCGTATCATTAGCCTTAAGTTTGTGGCATATTAAGAAAATTGAGTATTATCATTACCAAACAAGGATAATGAATTTGACTCGAATTTCCGCTTCTCACAGTTACTCTCCACACCTTCAGACATTTGACGCCAAACGGTAATGCATTTTCTTATTTCTTTGATAATAGAGTTGAGTCTTATGACAAATTTTTTTGGACATTTTCTAAGAAAAAAAGGAAATACTATAATAACATATGTGCATTTCATTCTTGTTGATCTCCTCTTTGACATTTTCTAAGAAAAGAAGGAAATACTATAATAACATATGTCACATCGAGAGTCTGTTCTTGCAATATAAGAATTGCTCCATAGATCACATTGAAGTATTTGAAACTTCTTTGGCAACTGTGAAGTCACTAGAAGAATTGCCACAATTCCTTTTTTGCATTGTATACCTTTCCTTGCTTCTCATGCTAAAGCAATTGTAGCAACTAGGAGAAGAATGCCATCACATTCCATTTGTGGAAGAAAGCAAGTACAACTTATGAATCGACAACTTTCATGCAATTATTGTGCTCTTGCTTCCTGCCTTGAAAATATTGCACGACATCCAAAAATTTAATCATTTATTTGTGATTTCTCTTGCATTGCCTTCTCCATGTTAAGCAAACAATGTGCATGGCTAAATAACTCTATAAATATGGAGATAAAGAATGTAGGTAATCCATCAACTCCATAAATTAAGCTATCGATGAGTATCGAATCCCCCCCCCCCCCTCCCGAAAAATAATTTTACCTCACATGAAATTTCAATTGACTCCAAATAGGTAATCACATTAATTTCAACGAAATAAGTTATAATAACTTTACAAATAATTGTAGGCGATTGATGTAGAGTTGGGGGGTTCCATCTCTTAAGTATAGCTTTTCAGAGTAGAACATGGTGGAAAACCTATTGGCTAAGGGGGGGGAGGAGGCGGCAATCCCTTCATACCCAATTAATAACATATATGTCCTTGATTGTTTCTTTGACTTTCTATGTCACCTTCCACTTGTATATATAAGTCGTGCTTAAGAACTAATCTTTGTAGTCATATAAGAAGTTGAGGCAAAACAAGATCACTTAGTCAATCTCTAATATGATATTTTCTATATGTAGAAGCTTTTGTAAAATAACTTACCTAATAACGACTTTGTGTATCAACATAGTCTCAATAAGGTACTATTGCAACGTCATCAACATCGTGACTTTGCATCACCTCTTCAGAGAAATTGATGTTGCAAAACATGTACAAAGTTTCTTCCACAACACGAGGGGTCGTTTGATTACAAGGATAAAAGATTTGATGGACATATACAACTAACGCCATGAAAACCAAAATCCAAACATGTATCAAATTCGCACCCTTCATGACTCGGACGGTCGATATCTCTGTGTTTTTTGGGAAATGCATGCATGTATGCATAATCACCATTTCCCCCTTCAATCGGTTATTGTTGTATATTTCTTGAGTTGACATCAATAGACATTTATATCTCGCATCATGTCTTGTCCTATGAGTATATCTAAGGTTCAATCTACATGGGGCATACCACCTTCTTCATAGGGGTCATTTGGTTTTGCGAACCTTTTTGTCCCCATAGAGAAGAGATTGAAAGTCTGGGTCCTCTAGATCACTCTACCTTACAACTTGAATTGATTGGCATATATTTATTTTTAGTAACTAAATAAAACCCTTCTCACTGTATATTCCTCTACTATTAGTTGAATCATCAACTTTTCTTCTCCTCTCTCCTTCTTCAAGAATAATAATCACGTCTTTCTCTTCATAAGTAGAGAGAGATTTTGAATTTGGATGAACCCTTCATTCAAGAGCGCAACATCCATTATCGTCCATTTATAGGCCTCCCCATTTGGACAGACTTGGTTCTATGCAATTCAACTTTCTCTCGGTGGAGAAAAAGTTTCTAAATCGAGACATTAAAATAGGGATTCTAAAAGAAGAAATATATACTGTTAATGCAAGATAGATTAAATTAAATAAGGAATCTAAGTTTAATATACAGTTAGTGTAAATAATTTTTTGTACTATCATTTATCAAGTTATCTAATTGATATCTATAACCAAATTTCTTAAAAAATATGAAATTCGAAATATTAAAAAATAAAATATGTAATCTATATAACATGTGAACATGACTATGTAAATTTTTTTTAATATGACAAACTATTCTACTTATAAGAAAAAGGAACCCTAATTCTTTTTCTTCAAACTCAGTTCCTCAAAGGGAAAAAAAGTTCTTTAAACAAATTAACTATATATGTATGGTTGATTATACTAAACAACTCATCACCTCTTCAAAACATACCCTTCTTTTTCTCACGGTATAAAATACCCAATGAGAAAGCAAACGTGAATTTAAAATTTCTAATTTTGTGCGATTTAGAAATGGAATTAAAAGATCTTTCTATTTTTTTGGGAAATTTTAGTATCTACCCAAATTTTTAGTAATTACAACAATCCAACTTCATATTCCTTAATCACTTTCAGATCAACCAAAGTCCTTTTTTAAAGAAAAAAAATAAACTAAAAGGGCTATTTCCCCCAAATGTCCTCCACTGATAATAGTAGCCAATAAATTGACCCGGTGTTGACAGTCAAGAAACTCACACTCGTTCTCTTGGTGAATAGAGTTACAACATAACATGTGCTAGTAAAAAGAAACAAGTATCGAAAGAAAAAAAATTAAAACACCGACTAAACTGAC